AAATCTTTGCTCCATTGGCCTCCCATATATAAGTTCCACGAAGACTACAGTTTAGCCAGAAACTTACCAATACACAGATACTTGTTTGTAACTTGTGTTTGGTTCATAGATGTAAAACTCATGTTTTGTCTTCTTGTACTAGCTACAAAGGTGCGACTGATTCTTATATTGAAAAAGTAATGATTTCATCAAATGCAGAGGATGCTTTCTTGATCAAAATGTTGTTGAGGCAAACTAGACGTCCAGAAATTGGAGATAAATTTAGCAGTCGTCATGGGCAGAAAGGTAAGCTACACATTTAGTAAAAATAAATGCATGTTGGGTATGCCTACTATACACACATAATATCATCATGCATGTTTCCGTTGATTGGTTCAGATCTTTTATGAATGCAGCAGTAGAAGACCATATCCTTTTTTTTGGTTAAGTTCACCTAATTTAGCAATGTTGTTTCTGGAACTGAGGAGAGGAATTGGCAAACACAACTCTGCATTGACTTATGAATCTGGAAAATACAGTAGTTGCCCATTTTAAACAAGAACAGGGTTTTGAGTTTTGTTTGGGTTTTGTTTTTTCCTAGTGTGAATTTGGTTTTAGGTGATAGGTTTGTCAATGGGTTATCAAGAGAGAGATTGGAGGTTCTATTCTGAATGGACAGAAAAGACCAGAGATGGAATGGGATGTCTGCGAGTCGTCTGTGCAGACATACTGCTTTAAAGACAAGACTGCAGATAGATAGCTCAGAGCCATGGTGTAAAAGGGAAGCAAATCAGGAATGCAACTAGGAGTGCACCAGCAGAGACTGGAAAGAAGGGGAAAATGTTTTTAAAAATACACCTGGGACACGATCTGGGGCACCTCTGGATCTTCAAACTGAGAGTTGAAAATGGGTACCTACTAGGAAGCTGCTTGGTGGCATGTCGCTCTCTGTTAATGTTATAAGAAAGATGAAAATCAGGAGCTTGTTTCCATAGCTGTTGAGAAAAGCAGTGGGCTCCCTTTGACCTTAATGGCAAAAAAAGGTGACTCATAACATCCTCTCTGAATCTCAAAGGGCGGGGAGTTGTGGGAGGGGTGTTAAGAAAGAAGTGACTGAAAACAGTCTGGTTGTAACTGACTTAAAAGCATGTTTTGATCCCATTGGTCCCAATGTGGGACAGGTTTTGGCATGTTTTCATCTATCTGTACAGTTGGAAAATCTAGATTTTTAGTACTTTCAGCATGACCTTTTGCCTCACTGTGTATGCTGTGCTAAACCTATTACCCAAATGTTGTAATGTTGTTACATTTTTAGGTCTGATTTTGGTTTGAGAACATTGCTCGGTCTCTTGTCAGATATCGTGGGGAGGCAAAGAGGTTGATATTACCAAATCCTTTCCATTGCAGCACATGCACTCCTTTCCTGTACTGGGCAAATGTGATATGTCTTAATAACTACTGGGACAAAAAAATCCTTACTTACTTGCTTTGATTTCTGAGGAACTGGAACCAGAGCATTGAGTATAAAGCACGCCAGCATCTTACATCTGGTAACACGAGAATCCTCTAGGTCTGTGTGGAGGGCAGGGGAAGGGAACTGAGGAAATAATGGAGGACACTGTTCAGATTTGAAACATTAATAGTTAAAACTGGTTGTAGTCAATGAACTTTGCAGTAATACATCAAATTATGATACTAGCTAAGGGATGTTGTCTTGCAAACAAACTGGCCTTTCGTAAGCAGTGTTCTCTTTGTCAGAAGACACATGGAAAAGAGAGTACTTTTTGTTAGGAGGAGCTCCCTTTCAGCAGTTTGTCCCACTCTTCTCCCAGCATCATCTTGGGTTTGACCTTGTTGTGCTGATTCACATCCTGTATTCTTGGAGCAGAACCAGAGAACTCTGTGGGCAAATATGCCCTGGAGTCGGTCAGCAGAGAGCTGGTACTTGCACAACATCCACATGTAGATCTGAGCCAGCGAAAAGAGATGAAACTGCAATAAATGTCACCAGTACATAGGCAGTATCAGCTGTAGAGCTCTCTTAAATGAAGCTTCAACAGAATCATCTCCAGCATATTCAGTGCCAGCGTAATTGGAAGAGGTATGAAGAGCAGTTGCTTACAGATGGACCCTAGGCACAAGTAAGAAGTCGTTTTTATAATGCTCCGTGCCACTATTTACTACTTTACTCACTTGTGTAGCCTGAAGTCAAACTTGAGGTCATTTATAGCTTTCTGGGGCTACGGAAGTACATAAGCATCAGTGGCAATGAGGTGGCCAGGTATTACTGAAGTGAAAGACTGCATCCCTGTTGTGAGATGCAGAGCTAGCCACAGTAATCCTCATTTCTGTAGTCTCCAGGTTTGGTGATCAGGACATCTACCTAGAGCAAACCTATCAATCAAAAGAAGTGAAATGGGTACAAAAGGCAGTAGTTGATCATTACAATCAGCTGTTACCAGATGTTGCCTCAAGTTCTTTGTGTGTGTTTTCTATGGAGTGCAGTCAACGCAGGCTTTCTCAGTACATCCAGCTCTCTCCAAGATCACCCTTACTTCCACAGTATCTTTCCATAAACCCATAAAACTGGTTCTTGAAACTCTGTATTCTAAAGAAATCCTTCCATTGTTTCTGCTGTCATTAAGAAATAGAAACTCTTCTGATAAGCATTGAAACATTTTTCCTGATTGTATTTTCAAGATGGCTTTTGATCTAAAAATAGGAAGTGATTCTCACTGAGTCCCCAAGTGATTTAGAAACCAGTACCTATTGAAGGCTTCAAAAAAGTAAAGAAGCAGCAGTACATTCTTGATTTTCGTTTTAAAATCCAGTCTAGTTCTTGCACTACAGCCATATAGGATAGTTTCGGTAAGTGAGAGGGAAGATCATTAGCTTCAGAGGCAAACAGAAAGAATTGAGCACTTTGGAATGGTTCAACTACCCCATTCCTTCCTTCTCTCCAGGAAGATTCTTCTTCAGGAAGATTTTGTGTAGAGTCTCTTTCAAATAATTTTTTAATCTCGTACACAATGAAGATGTGCACTATTTTTAAGCCTATGACCGCTTTTAGAGCAAAGCCCACTTCTTCATATATTTTGAGCTTCGTCTAATTAGTCCTTTCTCCTTATAAGTGGCATGCGGCAAGTTATTATGTAACAATACAAATTTTCTTACTAGAATTAAAAAAAAATAGCCTACAAATTATATTAAAGAAGCAGCTCGGTTAATCATGATAAATGTTTATGGGCATTTGCATGAAAAATTTAAGCAGGTAAGTTTTTCTCCTAGCTTGGGCTATTGATGTGCACCTATTGAAATAGTCAGTTGAACAGGATTTAAATGGAACTGATTTTCATACCTCTCCAAAAATCGAGAAAAAGGGTGCTCCACAAGTCAAGAACCATCAGAGGAGAAAAGGTGGAAGTGGAAGAATGACAGAAGGAAACAGAATTGTGTCAGGCAGGCTGCAATATGGCTTTGGGGAGCAGAGGGCCTTCCATACCACGAAATGCACATAAGGCATCTCACAGTCTAGAGCAAGCTCATTTTAGAGGTCTTAAAGGACAGACATCTCACGAGTACTTTTGCTACTCATCAAACCCTGATATTCGTGGTCAAATGCAGAAACAACGAATATGCACTGTATTGGTATTTTCTTTAATATCCCAAAAGCCATAGAAAGTTAGTAATATTTTTTTTCCAAAGTGAAATACCTGTGGAAATCCCATGGTAATGAAAAAAAACATCCTAAATGCTGTAGGGAACTTTGAGGGCACCCATAATTATGCCTGGCATTGCATGAGGTTAGAATGACTGATCGCCCATGTATCTGTGCTTTGGACCTATAATAATAATAATAAACCAAAACCATCAATTATTCAGAATAGCAAATGTCCCTTTCAGCTTCGTTTTGGAGATACGAGTGGGAACATTGCAACAGTTGTGTTACAGAGTTCGTAGGCATGTGCTTGTTATCTGTCCAGTACATCAATCTGTAGTAATCTCTTGTAACTGGGGGAGTGATCATATTCTAAATTGTTACATTCTACTAGGATACATATTCTTCCTGGTAGTAGACCTCTCAGTTCACTGGCTTGTAGTACATTATGGGAAAAAATACTACAATAAATGGGAGAAAGGAGAAATGTGCTTAGTGGAGCGTGTGTTAGATACATGTGCTAGATAACAAGAAAAAAAAATACTGACAAGAACAGTGGAGTTTACTGTTCTGCAACTTCAGTATACAGTGAATGACCAGATATTGACATTAATCTTAGATTACAGGCAATGACAGAACTGGAGAAAAGGCATGAAAAGGAAAGGGAAAATCTCCTTTGCTAGCTGTTTAAAAATACAGCTAGTATCATCCTTCTCTGACATCAAATCGGGGAAGGATCAGTCGTAACAGAGGAATGTAGACAATTGTGAAACAGAAATCGTAATACTAACAGTTTAACATTTTCCATTGAGAGAATTTTTAAGTAGCCCTGAATTTGTTCTCTAACCTTCCTCTGAATGTGGGCGATTACCACTTCAAGTTTAATTTGTGAATGTTAGCTTTAAGCCCATCATAGGGCCATTTAAACCTATGATAAGCTTAAACTAACAAGTACCTTGATTCAGTGAGAAGGAGAGAAAGCATGTTTCTCTCCTTTTTGTATTGTCAATCTTTTCTGTGAAGTTTTTTTATTTTGTAGAAGGAATGCATGAAGATGAGATTTGATTTCACAGAATTGTAGTAGTTTTAAAATAATTAAATATGTGCAAAATAAGAGATTGCACAAACCACATTTCTCAAGTTTTTTTCATGGACTTTTTCCTGTATTCCAAATTGATTTGTATTCCAAAGCTATACTTTGTCCCTGGGGCAGAAAGAAGCAGAGTAACAGAACTGGAAATTGTCTGGGATATGACAGATTAAATCTCACAAACCAGCTTTAGCCTTTTGTTACAGAAGAGCCTTTTGTTAAATATGTAGATAGATTTTGTAGGCCTCTATAATAATATAGATCTATGCCGCTTCCTCTGTATTTGCTATCTTCTTTGTGTCCTCTCACATGTCAACGCTGTATTGGCAAGGGTCACTACTTCCGGCCTGGCCACCACACCCTCTTTACATTCAAGTCCATGTTTTAAGTACACTTCTTCCAAACTGCCTGCAAAAGCTAGGCTTTCCTTCAAGACCTGTCTGTAACAAAGAAGTGTATGAGGAGGAGAAAAAACCCAATGAGGCCATCACGTTGTGTTGGGAAAAGCACCAGCAAATATTTTGCTCTATCTCAATATTCATCTTCAAACTGGATGTT